AGTTAATCGTCAGTTACCCCATGAGGTAGGCACTGTTATTCTCATTTCACAAATGAGAGAACATAGGTATCGTTATTCCCATTTCACAATGAAAGAAGCTAAGAGAGGTAAGTAACTTGCCCACTGTTACACATCTAGAAATTAGTGGACCTCACTCTTAAACATAACACTATCTGGTACCAAAGGCCATGTTTTTTACTTTTTTATAAATGTCTACATGATAGCTGATCAAACTGAGAGGGGGATGTAACCATCCCCAGACCTGAAGGAAACAGTAGCTTGGGTGTAGCTAAAGAGACAATATGTACCAGAAGAGGTGCCTGCAAGAGGAAGCCTACCATCCCCTTACCTGTCCATGTCCTAATTCCCAAAACCTGTAAATGTTAACTTTCATAAAAAAGGGGGTCTTTGCAGATACAATTAAGTTAAGGATCTTAAAGTGAAGAGATTATCTGGATTATCCTGGTGGACCCTAATCTAATGACAAGTGTTCTAAGAGACACACAGGGAATGTGTCACAAACAGAAAAGAAGATAGCAGTGTGACCATGGAGGCAGAGATGGGAGTGATGCAGCCACAAGCCTAAAATGCTGACAGCCACCAGAAACCATTAGATGTAAGGAACAGACTCTGCTAGATCCTTGCTAACATGCTGATTTTGGACTTTTGGCCTCTCCAACAGAGTGACAGAGTAAATTTATGTTGTTTTCTGACATCATATTTGTGGTAATTTGTTACAGCTGCCTCAGAAAACTAATACAACAAAGATCCTTCTGTTGTATTCTAAATACACTGATTTTTCTCTCTCATGCAAAGGTAGGCCTTTCTTCTAAGTTGGGATGTATATTCCTTCTATGGTAAATTTCTATTGGAATCCTTTGTAGCTCAAGGATAGAGTGTCAACTACTTGCTTAGCAGAGGTCGAGGTACCTATCGATACATGAATGGACATTCTTTAGGGATAAGGTCCATAGCCATTATGTTCTCAATAGAGTCTCAATAAGATTCCAAATACTTTAAGAATGTCTATGTGGGAGTAGAGGCAAGTGGGAGAATGAGAAGCAGCTGAGCTCTGAGAGAAATGAGAACAAAGACTATGAAAACTACAAAGACATAAGTTTCAAATATTTGGAAGCAGGAAGAACCAGGGTGTCTGGTGAGAAGACTTGACAGCCATGTCTTTAGAAACAAGTTCAGTTTCCTTGTAAATGCAAATGAGGAGGCAGAAGTTACAGTGGTCTTGCAAGGGAGACTTCAAAGGGCAACTCCAGATAGCTCAGTGTCCGCAAGAAAGGAAATGAAATGCTTTGTGGATAGAGGGTAAGGAGGTTAGAGACCAGTTCAAATTCTTCCAGTTAAAAGGAACTGAAGAAGGTAAATCCCGTATCAATGACAAATAAGAACAATGCTGTTTCTAAGAGTTATTTTTATTATGTTGAGGAAAAAAAAAGAGAAAGCAGGTTAAAAATAAGGAATGGTTTGATTTTAAGTCTAACTCTTAAAAGGAAAAGAAACAGAGCACATTTTCTGGGTCTGTCTCTGAAAAGTTATGAAATGAAATTTAGAGGATTTGGAACAAATGTTAACTATAACCTTAGCTGCCAAAGTCACATGTCCCAAATGATGGCCTGCTCCATTAAGTACCATGCAAATTTCCTCACAAGCAGTAAATGGGCTGGGATCACCTGCTTTATTCCTCTGTGAAGGGACATTTAAAAAAAAAAACAAACTCATTGCTGTCGAATCGGATCCAACTAACAGCAACCCCTCCTTAGGGTAGATCGCCCTACCTTCCTTATGAGGAGTGGCTGGTGAGTTTGAGCTGCCAGCCTTCTGGTTAGCAGTCAAGTGCCTTAGCCACTACACCAGCAGAGCTGCCAAGTGAAGGGACACAGGTGGTTGAGTGGTAGAATTCTCACCTTCCATGTGAGAGACGTGGGTTCTATTCCAGCCAATTCACTTCATGTGCAGCAACCACCCATCTGTCCGTGGAGGCTTGTGTGGTGCTCTGATGTTGAACAGGTTTCAGCAGAGACAGACTAGGAAGAAAGGCCTGGTCATCTACCTCTGAAAATCAGCCAATGAAAAACCCCACAGATCATAATGTTTAGTTGTACATGGAATTGTCAGGAATTAGAAGCTGACTCGATGGTAACTACCGACAACAATTTCTCTGTGAAAGTACTTAAGATCCATGGTGGTGTAACGGTAGAAAGAGAGAAGAAGAGAGAGTGTGTGTGAAAGCAGCTTGGCTTTCCAGAAAACCAGCCCAGAGTCCCTGTAGCGTTCCATAATAAGATTATAAAGTGTTTTCATACAAATTACCTCACAGGTGTTTATGGTTCGTGGTTGGCCTGCCTGCCTGCATGAAAGGAGCTGACAGGAGCAGGTGAAACCCGAAGCCTGGTTTTCAGCACGTAGTTTACATTTCTAACCACAAGAAAAAAATTCTTCACAAAACAGAAGCCTGGCCCTTGAAAGTTTCACATACTACTGCCTTTCCCACCACACACCTGGGATAGAACATCAAATAGCTCATTTGAAACCTGTTACGATAAATTGTTTAAGAGTTCACAAGAAGCAAAATGCATGTACATATAAAATGGGCCAAAATTTCTGCCTAAGGATTCTGCTCTATCATCAGTTTCTTCCCTGGAGCAAATACATTGTTCCCAAAACTTGCATGAGGAAGAGCAAGGGCCTAATTAAGGTTTATTTGTTTGTTTTCTTTAAAGGAAAAGTCATACTAACTTCTAAATACTTCTTTGAACAGAATTATTAAATTAGCAGAGAAATAACATGTACCAGCTATTTGGCCATGCAAGTTATAAGATACAGCAGCACATTCTGTAACATAAGAATTCAGTGTAGCACAAAACTTTCTTTATCACATTATTTCATCCTTCTTATCCCATGTTCTTTGTAGGTAGGTGATAGTCTCCACCATTTTCTATGGTTTGCTGCTCTCAGAACTTCCCTATTATATCTCCTTTCACCCACAAAACCAAGTGAAGACTTTCTACTTGTGTCTACTAACAATAAGAAGAAGGCAAGGAACTTATTTCATTTAGCAAACACATATAGAAATTTATATGTGCCAGGCACAAACATTTCCATAGCACTGTACAAACATTAACCCATTTAATTCTCAAGAACTCTATGAGGTAAGTTCTATTTTCACCTCCATTTCGTGAGGAACCTGGGTCATAGAGCTAGTGAGAAGTAGAACCATGATTTAAACTGAGTTTGTATAATTAACCACACCACCATGCTACCTATTAAGCAGTACACTAACTCTCATTTATTGACTATCTCCTTTTCTGACATTTGGCATTTACCATAACTTTGAAAAAATGCTCAGGCAGCATCTTGGGTGGTCAGCGTCCCACATAAGGCCACAGCCTGGCCTGAGGCACCCTCCACGGACCACCTCAAATTACATACCAGAGGCCCTGTTGACAACCAGGTCATACGAGGGACAGCAGCCAACCTGCCCCAAGACACCTCCCGTTCCTCTGCCATATCTTGGTCCAGCCACAAAGCATGGGAAGCACCGTTGGAACGTCATGAGGTTGTGGGCGGGCAATGGAGGGCAGGTGAGGGCCTGAAGGTGCACAGGAGGTCAGTGGAGGAGGCAGGAAGAAGGGGAGAGGGAAGGGAGCTGTGAAGGGCTACAGGACCAGGGCAGACAGAGGATGAGGAAGGTCCCCAGTCAGACAGAGCAGGAGGCAGGAGGCAGCCTGTGGCCACCACCACCATCACCCCCCATCCCTAACCCCGGCAGGTTCCGCAGTGGTAAGGAAGATGTGATGTGGAAGGAGAGCCCGCCATGCCATGTGCATCTGGAGATGCACCAGGGGCACCTGACTGGTGATGAGCAACCCCGGGATGGAGGTAGACACTGGCGCTGAAGATGGCACAGCCCCCTTACTCTCATAATGCTGACTTCACACAACCACTGAGCCTTTGGAACCTAACCATGTCGATAAGTGAGGAGTGAGTGCAGTGATATAAAGGAGAATGAAACTGAATGTTTTTTTTTTTTAATTATAACTCATGTAGCTTTATACTATACATACAATGGTACTGTTAGTCAATTGATATAATCACCTCTTAACTCTGTAGCCATCTTTTAATCATCAATTATATTTATTTATTTAATCATAAAAGCAATAAAGGTACATTTCTGGAAGTTTCAGAAAAGCACATGGAAAAATAAAAATTACTCATAATCCCACCATTTAGAAATCATCATTATTGATATTTTCATACATATAAATCCTGAAGTCTTTTCATATGTAAATCCATCCATCTGTATGTTGACAACATTTATTAAATTTAGTTCTTTGTGCCTAAGGGATGCATTATTCAAATAAGAACTTTTTTCAATGCCCCAATGTGTACTAAATATTCTCTAAATGCATTTAAAAGTCATAAAAGCAATTCATTTAGATCATAAAAGCAGAAATAAGCTCCCAATGATACATATGTGAGAGCATTCTTAAAACTTCACACATTCAGTTGAATTGAAGTTACAATGGTGATACATTTCAACCTAATTTTGTCGTTATATTTTCTGTGTTACCCAGAAGCAATTTTAGCATCAATAGAATGAAAATGATGCATATTTTCTTCTTCAATTAATTGATGTGACACCTCCATTGATGCATGATTATTTTCTCCATGAATTGATTTTAAGGCTTCTCTATGATAAGAAAGCACAAGACATCCCAAAAGAAATATCGATTGATGATTATTGTAATACTGTTCAGTATTTTTAAGTAAACCATACCCATGAAACATGATAATTACTAATCAGGTAATTCACAAAACACCTTGCTGAGCTAAGCATGAAAGAAAGACATTATCTTATGCAGGAGGGAAATAAATGAATCTACTACGCTGAAACTGCATGACTACACACAACCTTGTCCAGCATCACGTGATGGGCCATAAGGCATTCTTCAGCTAACAGTTGACTCCTATCGGTGGCTACCGTGTCACAGCCGAGAAGGCAGCTTCCTCTTGACTGTACCAGTAATTTTGCCATATGGATTGTCTAGAGGTAGTAAGACCTGTAGAAAAACCACCTGTTAACTTCAGAGGCATTAAAATACTTCCCCTCCTTTTATCTATGAGTTAATATTTAAACAACAAAAACCTGTTAAACAGGAAAATGTATGTGTTGTACAGCAAAGTTACTTGAAGCATGGCAATGTCTTGTTTCTCTGGCAATAGGTGAGAGATGAGTCGATTGACCAGAAAATTAAAACGTTTTTGAAAAATATTTAATCGTTGGGATACAAATGTTTCTAAAATGCATTACATATCACTGCTTTTCCAATAGAGTGCAGAGAACATAATTTGACCTTTCCTTGATGATTCACTTTGCACATCAACCAGTGTCCAGTGCTGTGATACAGCCATGCCCTTCCGAGCATATGAGGACCGCAGGGCTGTTAACGCAATGCTAAACGGCTCCAGACAGCTGTGCTTTTAGAATTCTTCTGTCTTCCTGTTCTGTCATTTGTCACTCTTCTGCTGTTGTCAGTGTGCCCTGATTCCTTGCTTCTCTTGAGCTGCCTTCACTTTGTACATGCCTATCGGGCCACATCCTGAGAGTAGCTTCAGTCAACCCCGAAGTGCAGACACAAAAGGTTGGGGGGTGGGTGTCAGGGGAGGACAGTTTATTCAGTCTTAAAGATGCCTTTCTGCAGAGCCCTGACCCACAGGAGCCAGGGCCCCGATTGGGCTCCGGGAGAGAGCTGAGGGAGCTGCAAATCTGACTACTTGGATGAAGAGACACTTGGGCCTCAGCCCACTGGCAAGCACTGAGCTGGGATCAGTGCAGGCCTGGGGCATCAGAGGCCCTAAGGACGTCCTCCTCATTCTGTCTAGGGTCCTGAGTTGAGCACTGCTCCAACTGAGTCATAAACCTAACATTTTTCCTGCTTGGGCCCATTTGTTTTGCTTCTGGGGGACTAGGAGTCCCTGGGTGGTAAAAATGGTTAATGAGCTTGGCTGCTAACTGAAAGGTTGGAGGTTCAGGTCCAGCCAGAGACACCCCAGGAAAAAGACATCATGACCTTTTGCAAAATCACTGAAAACTGTGGAGCACAGTTTCTACTCTGACACGCATGGGATAACCATGAGTTGGAATGGATTTGATGGTAACTGTTGTTTTTCCTGTGTGCCACTGAGTCACACCTGACTCATAGAGACCCCTCCTTGGGTTTCCAAGGCAGTATCACTATGGAAGTAGATTGCCCAACCTTCCTTCCAAGGAGTAGTTGGTCGGTTTGAACCACCAGCGTTCTGGTTAGCAGTCAAGTGCCTTAGGCACTACACTACCAGAGCTCCTGATGGTAACTGGTGTTTGGTTATTTTTTTTCCCTTTTCCCCTGGTGGACATAGCCAGAATTTCTTTCAGGTCCACCTCTTGCCCTTTAGAAGGTAATCATTTAAAAATCAAAAAACTAAACCCACTGCTATCAAGTTGATTCTGACACATAGCAACCATATAAGACAGAGTAAAATAGCCATAGAGGGTTTCCAAGGCTGTAAATCTTTACAGAAGCAGGCTGCCTCCTCTTTCTCCCACAGAACTGCTGGTGGGTTTGAACTGCTGACCTTTTAGTTAGCAACCCAATGCTTTAACCACAGTGTCACCGGAGCTCCTTTAATCATTTTAAAGGGGCTTTTAATTTGAATTGATGAAATTTCAGTATTTAAATCCCTTTCCTTCTTCTGAAGTACACAGTGCTGCCCTTCCTTCAGCTGAAAGAATAGCGCATGGAATCAAGGTTGCTGTCCTCTGTAACTAAGGACTCTTTATCACCTAAACCAGGGACCTAGGCAAGACCTTTGTTCTCCAATGCTGCCCCCAACCAGATGCATATCTATGGAAAGCAGTGCCTGTGACAATTCGTTTTAAATTGCTGAATGATCTCTCAGAGTTGGTGATGGAAACTGTGATGGTAAATAGAAATTGCTCATTGGCACCCCCCCTCAAGTGGTGCTCAGGATATGTGCCATACCTGCCATACCCTAGATATGCCTCTGCCCTCAACCTCGATCTGCTACTAATGGCACAGCAAAGCCTGGTGGAGTCCACCAACAACTACTGCAGAACAGAAGTAAGGTGTCTGGCAGAGGGGCTGGGACTACTGAGGCTCCTGAGTCAGCAGACTCAGAACGTAGGATCCTCTTCAAGAATGCGTTGTTGACCTGTACCACCAAAGGATATGATTCTAATGCAACAGAGCCATGTTAATAGATGGCCTCTTCTTACCTAATTCTCCCATACACAACAGAAAAATTTACCTCGAATGGTGTTTTTTAAATTATAAAAGTCTGTGGGAGGATGGATCAAAGAGAGAAAACCTATAATTTTAAAGTAAGAGTTTCTGAGTGGCACAAATTACACTTGACTACTAGCCAAGAGGTCTGTGGTTTGAACTCGAGTAACGGTGCCCTGGAAAACAGACCTGACGATCTGCTTTTGAAAGGTCGCAGCACTGCAAATGCTACGGGTGCTGCTCTACTCGGCACACTCGGGGTAACCATGTGTCACACTGAGCAGCTGTTAGGCAACTAACAATATCGTTTTGAAAGTTGTCCAAGAGGAAGGGACAGTTCTAATATCCCCAAATAACCAGAAAGGCTGTTTGTCAAGATTTCAGCCTATCTAGTCAGTGGCTGAAAGAATTGGCCAGGGAAAACCTTATGAATAGCAAAGAAACACTGTTTGGTACATTACTGCGCAACTTCAGGAATAGTCTGTTTAGGCTAAAAGGCTCGCAAAATAGGACTGGGAAAGAGCTGCAACATTTGAGTAAACCCAGCCTTACTCATGGAAAAGAGAAAGATTTCGAGACCTTCATTTGCTGATGTGGCACCACTCAAATTGAAGAGAAACAGCCGCAGACATCCATTAATCATCGGAACATGGA